CATATTAGCTTTTAATATTAATCCAATAGAAGCAGCAGTGCTGTTATTAGTGTGTGGTAAAGGCAATTTCCGCTTTAAATCCGATAACAGCTTCCAGTAATCTGAAGAATATGTACATATTTTTAAACTATACACGAAAATATTTCTACTTATGCTATTAAACTTTAAATTCTATGTTTTTTGAAAGAATCTCAAAAAGTTTTCAATCGATATTAATGTTTTCCCATTAGTTGATCTCAATCAATCCACAAAGAGTCTAAAAGATAACATAAAAGATATAAGAAATAGAACCGCTTAAGGGAAGTGGAAAATCAAAGTATTAAGAAAGGATCATAACAGATTTAATAAATTTTCTTCTTTTCCTTCTCGTCTTTTCCCATAAAACTCTCTAATGCTATTGACTATGGCAGGGATTTGAATAAAAATTTCTTGAGAAACTGGATATTTGTATTTAATCATTTATATTCCATCGAATTGAGTTCATCTAAATTAAGATATTATAAAAAATCTTTAATCTGTTGAAAAGGCAACAAAAATCACTGAAAAATGCAAACAAATGTTTTCATCATGTTTAAGCCACCGAGTTTTGAAAATTCTAACATGGAGGTCATCATTTTTAATTCATAATGAAATTTTGACCACGAACCATCGAATAAATATTTAGTATGGATTAGAAGGTTATATGAAATGTAAACATTTTGTGAAGGTACATGTGTGAAAATTAAAAAAAAATAAAAATTTGGAAGCGAGTGTAAAATTTTAATAAATATTACATTTGTTTTCAATATATCATTATGAACTAACAATAGCTTAAAGGGTTTATTTTTAGCATAATAAGATATAAATATTTGTACAAATTAAGATTTCAATTTAATCAACTAAGTAAATCATGCTTAACATCTTGCGTTGAATTTGATGTTTATAATTCTTGAAATAAATAATTTCACAAGTTAATAAATTATTGATCAGCATGAAATTCAGTAAACGGAAATGTGTAATACTTAATGCAGCATATTATGTCATTTTACAAAAACACTCTGAAACTTATTATCAAAAGTGACTTATCGAATTATTATTTCGTCATCAAAAATCAAATGTAGTTCGACACATAAAGTCCATACTTCATAATGACAGCAAATTCTTTAAATGCAATAAAAGGATAGAATTTAAGCGATTTTATGTACCTGACTTGAATTCACATTATATGTCTCAATCTTGTAACATCATGTTATTTTGAAAAACCGCATAACTCCTTTTGCGGAAACATCGGAATGAATTATTTTATTCTCGTATTCGTACTCCACTTGTGACTGTAATTGAGTGTTTATCAAATAAGATGTTAAATTGACGCAATTGTTCATACATTTGCGGTGCACCGTGATATGCTTTGAAATTTTTATTCATATATTTTAACGAGGAGGCAAAAAGAAAAAATAAGACAAAAGTCAAAGATTCGCTATAAATATAATGATGAAAAGAAGGATGTTAATGAGTTAAATGGCAAGCGTCAAACCACTTAAGCATTTCATAATTATCCTTCCTTCCTTCCTTTTTTAGCATAAAAGCAATTATCATCACATCATATAACTTACACAGTAATGAGTAACGAAGGATTGCAATCATTAATTACATCAATTTATCCCATTTAAAGTGCTAAGACAATGGATATAAAATTCTATATTGTGTAAAGTGCCTGTAGTATGAAGCAGAAAAAATGAGCGATAATTTAATAATTTCAATCTTGTTTCATTCACAATTCTTCTCGTTTCTTCCGTTACTGTTCTTATTCTTTCTTATCACTGATTTTATGTCCTTATTGTGATTTGCTTGAACGAGGAAATGAAAAGATGTTGTATTGTTGGATGAAAAAAAAACGAAAAATAAGAAAACGAAGGAAAATGAATTGAATTAAGAATGAATAGAAACAAGAGGGAAAATTAATTGATTTGAAAATTATTTTGCTTCGTCAGTAAACGAGAGATTGAATAGAGCATGAAAATAGGAGGGTATGAAAATGCCTAATGCAATCAATTATTTAACAAGCTTTTACTCTTTTCATCGCATCCAATCTATTGAAATTTGATTTCAATTTGTTTTATTACATGCATCAAATTTATGCTATAATTTTTCAAAAACACTGCAAATTTTAATTTTTTTTATTACGAGAACGCTTTTAGATGCTCAACAAAAGCTGATAAGCCAAAGAATATTATTCATCATCATTTCAATCAGCTTCTCTATGAATTTAATTAAATTAAAAGTTGGATAAATGAAACATTTAAGAAATGGAAAATTGTTGAACAACAATTTCCATTTACATTGTTAGATTATCATAATCTAACATTTTCTTGACATTATCATACCTTATTCAATTCACTGCTTTTTGTCTGAACATATTTAACAAGTTTTTATAGTTCCATAAAAAAAAACTTTCTCGCCATTTCATTTTTAATCCTCGCTCAACACATAAATTTATCCCGATTTATAACATTTAAAATTTCTATAAAATAGAACTTGAATTAAACTGATTCGCTTTTCTCACATAGAGAAATGTCTTTCGAGGATTACATTAATTTCCTTGCTTAATTGCCTCTGTGGCTCCTTATTCGTTGTATCATATTCCCTCTCTTCCTCATCGTTTCCCTTTTACATTTTAAAAATAAGTCTTTTCTCATTTTGCTACTTCTCATTTTGTGCGAAAATAATAAATGACAAAAAAATTCTTCTATTAAATGTCTCATTTTTCCACATTTTTCTCATTTTCATTTCTCTTTTTTAATACGATATAAAAATTTTCTTTGGAGAGCTATAAGAAGTAAGAAAGTGGCAAGAAAATAGATAAAAGAAAGAGGCAAGCGAAGAAACGAGAAAAAAATTTAATGACTGAAATTCAGTACTCGAAAAAGTTGTCTCCATGTTAAATCATTTGAATTGTTGTTAAGAACTTTTTGCTTTTACTCACTTTGTATCATGTTAAAATGAAATAAAATATGCCTTATTTTTTGCCATCTCCATTACAAATGCAAAATAAATTTCTTTTGAAGAATCTCTTCTTTTTCCTTTCTTTTTAAGATAAAAATTCGCCTATTTATTCTACACTCATTATTAAGTAATATTGTTGAATGTCTAAATTAGACAAATTAAATATGAATTTCATTTTGAATCTTTAAATAGAAAAAATTAATGTTTATTAAAAGCCATTAATAATAAATGAAAGCTAGCAATTGAATTCTCAATACAGATATATCTAATTTTCAAACTCATTGCAAAACTTATTTCCTATCATGTACATAAACATAAAAGAACTAAAATATTTTCTTTTATTGATTTGTTTAAAAGCTTTACATAAATTTTTCATTCACATACTTTTCGTTAGACTTTAATGTTTGTTTTATTTCAATAAGATAGATTCTTTATGCTTACACGCAGAGTAATTGAAATGTAATTAATTGATTATTCCTTTTATTTTTTTTTTCATTTTTTTAACTTAAAAATAATCACATCCTAAAATTATATTAAACAAAGTCAACGGTTTTCGTTTCCCATTTTTGATTCTTTTTTTAGACTATGAATTTTTCCCCTCAGTGTAAAAATGCTATTAAGCAGATATATTTTTTTTAGGAAATATCTTCATAAAACATGAAATAGAAAACATATTTTCTCATTAAAACTCTCTTAAACCAAGTGCTAAATGTCTGTTACTACTGCACTACATTTTTTCATCATAATTTGAATTTTAAACATTACAAGTTGCGCTTTTTAACACATCTTCTAGAATATTTACATTAAACGCACTACTATGGACTGATCTCCAAATTTATAGAAAGTGATAAAAAAAGTACGGTGAAGGCATTGCATAAAGATAAACAATGAGGTACTCGGGGATATTTTCTGTTTACATATAATTTTTTTCTTCTCATGTTCACTGTTAATTTTCACTCGCTTAAGATAACTAAATGCATATGTCTATATTTGTTTAGAACTTTTTTTCTATCTACTTTCAGTTTGGGGTTTGCTACCTTAAAAACCACATATAAAAATTCCTTATGTAAAATAGAAGAGTGGAAAAAGTTTTTAGGTCATCTTTTTCATGTATGAGAGTTCGTAAGAAGATTAAGAGATTCTTTTGCATACCATGAAGAGAAATGTGATACGATAAGGGTCGAAATGTGGAAAAATCAAAAACTTAAAAGTGGCAAAAGGTTTCATCTCTATACGGAGATTAATATTCAAGTGGGAGCTTCTTCTTATCCCTTAAACAAAACGCCAACAGAGTGTTCTTTGTTTTCCCTTGGCAATATATATAAAACCGCAAAATTTCAAATTTGATTGCAAACAAAATAAGATTTTTTTTTTTCCTTTAAAGAGCCATAAAACCACAAGACCTTAAAAATATTTCTTGGATATTAAAAAAGAGAAGAAAAAGTAGAGTTTTGCATTAATGTCATAGAAAATAACAGCATTAAAAGGAATGATTATGACAAGAATCTTTATGGGATTTAAAAAGCATTGTTTTTAAAAAAATAAATTTATCATAAACGAATAAAAAATGTGCTGTTATTGTGCATGGAAGGAGATGAAGGGATCTTATCACTTTATATTTACTGCCTCAAATAAATCCCAAACGCAAATAACTGAAGCACAAGTAGAATAAGATGACGATGATGGTGGAAAAGCAAGCAACAGACATAATATTATTAGAAGAAACAAAAAAGGCTAAGGCAGCAACAACAAATCCCTTTTTACAAAAGGAATTCCTTTCATCTAACTTTTCCTTTTGCTTTTTACGCAGACTATACATACTGACTTTGTTACATATTTTTCTTATGTTTTTTCGCAAATTTTTTTCGTCATGCCTTTGTTTACTTGCTTAGAAAAGAAAGATTCATTCAAGATTCTTATATACAAAATATATTCAAATAGTAATAAGAAGATCATCATCCCACGAGAAATTTTCGTTTTTGTACAATACAATGAAAAGAGATTTCAATAGTACTTACTTTATTAGCCTTGTTATATCCATTTTTGCTGATCTTCCACTTGTTCTTTTTGTTTTGTTGCCTTTTGAAAATCCTTTTGATCCGACTTCAGAGATTTTCTTTATTTTTCTCTTATCCGCAAATAATTTTTTATACTCTTACTTTACTTAGCATAAACTCCACTTTTTCTGCTTCCAAAATTTATTTTCATTAACAACTTTTTTTTCTTTTCACAGATTATAAATTCCTCTTTTTTTTTATTATTTTTTACTCATTTCAAAGTACACAAAAAGGCTGATAAAAGGCACGTTAAAATTATATCTAGAAATCAGGAAATCTTATGTTGAAAAGATATTGTCACGAATTCATTACAGAAAGCTTAAAGGACAGCAAGGTAGAAGAAATGAAATTAAGACTTTTTCGCATTAATTTCATTTCTAAGACATTTGTTCCATTTTGTTATCAAGTGCTTGAAAAAAAATGAGTAGCTTTTTTATTTAACAAACTAAATCAGTTAAAATTTATATTATTAAAATATAAAAGGCTATAGTTTAAACTCGACAATTCTTTACCATCCTTTTTCTCACAATTTTTTTTTAATTATTAAAATAAGCACATGTTTTGGTCCCGGCACCAATAAATTTAAGTGACCGCAAAAGATCGAATTTTGCTTTACGTCCACTTCTTTCAGACGAATCCAATCGAATGAATGAGTTTATCAAATCAACTGAAGCTTTGAAAGACCGAGAATGAGTGACCACTTTTCTTTCTTCTCCCAGAAAATAAACCACAAGGCTGTTGTAATGATGATGATAATATTAGAGATTTCTCGCGTGTTTCTCTCTCCCGCGCGAGCTGCAAAGTCCGAATGTGTACATAAACTTTAATGTATGTACAATAAATGTTTACATTAACAAAAAAAAAACGGCATATAATGAACGAACTATAAAAGAGGAAAAATTTTGTCGGATATTCAACATGCCTTGAATAGTCACACTGTTACCCTATGCTATATGATGCCGATAACTTGATGGGAAATGATGTTATGTACACATGAGATATCTCTAGTATAAAAAAAAGTCTATTATATAATACGACGGACGACAAATGATGATTACGATACATAGAAATTATTTTTTCGTTATGTTTTTAAACAAAAAATACTCCTCGCTATTTATTAATAGCCTAATTTAATTATCACATATAACAAACATTTATATGCCTTTTTAGGAGACCACAAAATGTAGAAATGAAACGCGAATGTAGAAATGATATTCAATGTCAACAATTTCTTGAATTTTCTCAATTCCTACATATTATTTTTTCTTTTATTTTATTGTTAAAATTTCTTAAGAAATAAGAAGCAGAAGTCGGGTTAATCATATTCAATACCTTTTCATATTAAACTTGTATGTTTTCTAATTATTTTTACTTTCGTACCGAGAATTTTTTTTTATTCGCACGTAGCACGATTTCTTAACTTTAGTGAAAAAAAAAAACATCCGCAGTTCTAGTGAAATTATTCTTCACATGTTAACTGTCGAAAGGCGACGTTTAAACTGATTTAACATATGAAACTTCAGTTTTTTGTTTTATTTTCCTTTTGGTGTCTTTTCTATACTACTTACTCTTCCGACCATATCTACCCTGGTATTCATACAGATATATATTTACTCTTATAAGAAAGAAGAATCAAAAGAAGAAAAAAACATTGCTCAGTTATTGCCTGCCTTCTTCGTTATTCTTTTTTCCTTTCTCCCTTTTTCGCGCGTTCTATGCATGTGCCTGGCATTTCTCATAAAATTAACCAGCACTCAATTTACTCTGTTAATGCTCTTTCTTGCTATTGCTGCTGTGTCGAAATTTTGTTGAAAATGAAATAGAAAAAGAATATAAAGATGAGCACACCACAGACTAAATTTTTATATGTTATTCTTTTTATGCCTTTATATCTTTTTTTTGCATTTTCAGCATATATCAAGAAAACATTCAAGACTGAATACAAAGGCACTAAGCATTCAAGTGAGAGACCATGAAAATAAATTCAAGAAATAAGTCTTGATACAAGAATAAACTTTAAATACATGTATTTTGGCAGAAAAAACGAAAATTGATATTGTGAGAGCATAAATGAATTTCGGAGAAGATCTTAAGATTTTTTTATTACTCCGACAGACTTTGCGAAACACATGCAATTATTATGATGAGCTTCTCGTGTCTGAAAATTAACTGATAATTGAAGATGATCACCTTCATTACATTAAAACTATTGAATATTGAAAATATCTAAATACATATATTTACATGTTATTAATTGATAAAATATAATGTTTAACTACAAATAGCACAAACTGAGAATCTGATATGTGAGGCCTCAAATTTCATTTTATAGTCATATCCTCATATTTCATACATACTGAAAAAGATCGTAAATGATCGAGTGCAATTAACTTAAAAACATTAAAACACTTTAAAAACAAGATCATTAAACGCATTTTTTTTAGATTAAAAGAAGCTTCAAATCTACAAAGAATTTTAATTTTTATTGCACATACATAAAAAGCTTTGCTAGGCAGACAAGTCAAAAACCAAAAAATGAAGTTTTGATGGAAAATTATTTAGAACCAAATGACGGAAGACATCAACAAATGTGCATCATTTTTTCTATTTATTTATTTTCATTTGCTTATGTACATGAATAATTTGAAAAATGTGTGTATGAATTCTTTACTTTCGAGAACATATGTAGAAAATTTAAATTTTAAATTTTTTTTAACGAGATCTTGTAGACATTATGAATGAGCTTAATAAGATTTTTATGCTCTATTTTGTTTCTTTTACAATAATCAATGTATTTTGTCTTGCTTGATCTATTAAATCCATTCAACTATTTAAACTTACTTAAACAAACTTTTCATGTCAATCAAATTTTAAGTAACGCAAGATTAAGGCAAGAAATTCTTCATCTTGATCGTTAAAAATTTCCCATGATCATGACATATACAATCCATTTAGAAGCACTTACGACTTTAAATGAATGAATGATATTTGTTTATGCGAAAATTAAGCTGGAATAATGTGTTATATGCACACATATATGTGTCTGTACATTTTTAATGAAAAAAAAAAAACTAGAAGCTAATAATTATTTAATTTAACATTTTCGCCTTGTTTGATCTTGACTAAATATTTATTCATTCTTTAAATTATTCCACTTCTTAAGAATCGTATGATTCATTCATTAATATCTGTTAATAAATTATTTTTTTTGTTTTGATCCTCAAAGAGCTCACATGCAAAATATCATTATGAAAAATAATAAAATATTAAACAAGAATAAAAAGAGAAGTAATGAATTTTGAGAAATAATGATGGAATCATAATTAAATTAATTTGCTCACCAACTTTACTGTGGATTCTATCGTTTCTCTCGTCGTCATTCTCGTGTGTAGACCAAGAATCTGTTATTTCTCTGATTGATGTTAATGACGGTGACCTTGTGATATTTTCACTACTTTCGGATGCACTTCTTCTCATAAATAAACTCATTTTGATAAAATTTTAACAAATAGCAATGTTTATAAATATTGCACAAAATAGACAGCACCAAATGGCATTATGGAATGAACAATTCACTTAGCACTGGTATTTTAATATTTTTATCGGAACTGCAAAATTTCGGGTTAAAAAATATTCTTTTTCTTTGAATTCTTCAAAGATTGAATTAGAAAAAAAATAATCCCAGCAACCATTTGAAATTTGACCAATTCTGAATTTTCTTCAGTTTTGTGTAAACAATGGAAGCAATAAGATCATTCGAGTTGACAAAAGATGAATCAAATTTTGGAGGAAGCAGAACAGCAAAATGGAAGCGTAGGATCAGGAAGTGGAAACATGGAACCACAAGTGGAGGAAGAGGTAAGAATTAATTTGTAGCGGTGTTGGGGGTTCAATAAAGGAAAATGTTGTAATTGGAACTGGATTTATAACTCTTGGTTGTTCTGAATGAAAGTCTAGCTCTTTATATGGGTCGAAAATTTGAACTAATGGAATCACAATAGGTCGAAAGCTATTCACAGATGAATCAAAAACTCTATAAACCGACAATAACTGCACTAATCTAGGGTTTTCACACGAAATTCTTCCAATGTCTAGTTCTAAATATGTGAAATGTCTTTGAAAAAGATCATGTGTCTGAAAACTCATGTGGTCTACATTTATTCTTCAATTTTAGTGCCAATTTAAGCACGTTTTAATCTAAATAAACAATAAATGTATATATATACTATATATGAACTAAATATGTACTATTGCAATTTATTTAATGCCATTAATGTTGAATTATAGATTCACAAATAAATTCGATGTATATTTCTTGAATGATGATAATAAACTCCCTCTTTCTGTTTCCCCTATCCTCTTTAGTGTTACGTTGCCTTTTCATAGGCATCGTGAGCTGGAGCTTTTTGTGACGGGGTATGTGGTTTCGCAAGAAATCGAGAAGCTTCAGCAAGAGCAAGAAAAGCTGGTTCCTCTTATTTTCCACTTGCTGCAATGGTTCAAGGGAGCTTCTTTGGAAGTCTTGGAGGATCTAGAGGAGTTGTTGATTGTGTACATCAACTCCTTCCATGACATCATGCTCTTGAGTGAAATCGGGATCTTCTTGTTCAACCATCCCTTCCTGGCATCGGAACTCCAAGGATTTGTTGCATCACAGATCAGTTCCCATTTCATGGTAAGTAAAGTGAATTCAAATTCAACTAGCTGGAGTTCTGAACGCTAATATTAATCCTTAGCAATTTTATTTGATAAAATCTTTATTATTATTTCAGGATTACGATGCTATTACGATCTCATCAGATATAACGATTTCTGAGCCAGCAGCTGTTGATGGACCATCGATCCAATCCAATCTGGATGAGAAGCCGAAGAAGAAGCGAAGGAGTTTTTGGAAGACTCTCAAACGAACTTTCTGTTGTGGAAGTGAACCTGAGGAGCACGAAGTAGACGGATTTCAACGTTAAAAGGCAAGTGAAAGCTACATTTTTACTAAGTTGTGAGGGTTGGAGGTGTGAAGGGGTAGGGGTTGGGTAGGCGAGAAGAGCATTATCAAATCTATATGGGAGTTGCGCCCCATTGACGCCAAGAGAAGGGTTTCGGTGATTGGGTGAGGGGTAGGGGTTGAGAGTGTGAGGGGGTAGGGGTTTGGGGTGTGAGGGAGTAGGGGTTGGGTAGGTGAGAAGAGCATTATCAAATCTATATGGGATTTGCGCCCCATTGACGCAAAGGGGGGTGAAGGGTTTGGGTGATTGGGTGAGGGGATAGGGGTTGGGTAGTTTTGTTAACGTAAGGGGATTTTTTTTAATAATATGAACATGAATTAATTTCAATGGCGCGTTCGAGTTTTTTTTATAGTTTTTATCGAACGAGGCTTATCCTCTATAAAAAGGGCTTTGAACTTTTTAGGAATTACAAGAGGGGGTTGAGGGTGGGCTGTCCCAAAAAAAAACATTCCTGTCAATCCGTCCGTCGGTATTATGCTGTTCACTAATTTTCTTTTTCAGCTCTTACTTAACTTTGTATTTGGTGGATTTATGAACTCAATCCAATTCTTTCACAACAAATACTTCCGGGCTGTTGAGAGTCATAACAAGATCTTTGCCCAATAAATCCTGAACGTGAGCTCTCTATTCATGACTCCAAGCCATGCCTTACGGTGTTACAGCTTCTTCTTGTTGGTTTGAGGGGACGTAAAGGCCAGTGGTACTGAAATTCGTTGACTCATGGCGGTATTGGTCTTTATAGAGGCGCTTCCAGATGGGTCGCACACTCTTAATGATAGATGCATCACGGCATTTAGTGTAACCCGGTGATGTGTTTAACTTACAGTTTTTGTCATAGTTGGTAAAACTATGCTATCCTGTAAGTTGCAACTAAGTCGTCTAACGAAAGTTGTTTGATTTAAGAAGGAGCGTATCACTGATAAATTCGACCAAAAATTGATCATTAACCAGGGACTCGTTCTGTTGACCTTCGCGAGGTGAGTCCTGTGATCTTTTCTATTTCGGTAGAAAAGAGGCTGACAAACAGAAGTTGTGATTTGAATTGGAAAATTTTGGAGTTTCAGAGTTTCAACTTTTTTGAATCCGAATTTTTCG